TTGATTCTCAGACCATGATCACTTAATCGTTTGAACACTTCTCTTAAATGTATTTCGTGTTCCTTTTCATCAGCTGATGCTATACATATATCATCTATGTACGTTACCACATAACTCAGATTCTTTAGAACATCATTCATAAACCTTTGGAAAGTTTGCGCAGCATTGCATAAACCAAAAGTCATCATGTTAAACTCATATAAGCCGAACGGGGTTATTATCGCCGTTTTAGGTCGATCCTCCTCAGCAATCGGAATTTGATTGTAGGCCTTTTCCAAGTCAATGGTTGAGAAAATTTTCTTATTGTACAATATGCGAGTAAAATCATGTATATGAGGTATTGGATACCGGTCTGGTAGTGTTATTGAATTAAGCTTCCTATAGTCACCACACGGTCTCCACTTACCATCCTTTTTCGCCACTAAATGCAACGGACTTGCCCAATTGCTGTTACTTGGTCTACAAATACCTTGTTTCGTCATAAATTCAAATTCCTTTCTCGCAATTTCAAATTTTTCAGGATTTAACCGCCGAGGTTTTGCATACACTGGCTGTCCCTTGGTAACAATTTGATGCTCTACTAGCGTAACCTTTGTGGCCACCTTATTACTAGTAGCCGGTTCCGTTATCTCTTTATAATCCCGCAGAATGTTATGTACCGGGCTAGTCGCATCAATTGTGCTTAGCTTCACGCAGTGCATCTCTCTCTTCGAACCCATTACCTGGAGGCCTGTAATGCCATCTAAAATTCTCCTGTTCTTCAGGTCAACTATCAAACCAAAATTATTCAAAAAATCCGCCCCTATTATTGGGTGATTTACCTTCGCCACTAGGAACTCCCACAGGAACTGTCTGCGCAACCCCAAATTGACTTGCACTAATTTCGTTCCATACGTGCTAATTTTCGCTCCGTTTGCTGCGTATAAATAATATTGCGTGGCTTCATTTTCAGGCTGCATTCTCTTTGGCAAAATTGAAACTTCCGCGCCTGTGTCTATTAGATAATTTATACCTGTTTTTTTATCTTTGAAGAACAAACGGCATGCTTTACCCTCTGCCACTTCACTCGCCGTCAGACGTGAAGTGGTGTTTAGTTTTCCGCTGAGTTTTGCGGTGGTTTGTACTGGCAAGGCTGAACACATTTTGTGGACCTCTCCTTGAACCGCCGATGATAAAAACAGATATTACCTCTTCTAGCACTTGATGATCGCCCTTTTACACGATCTCTGTCATTGCTTCTTCCTCTTTTGCCCAACTGAATGACCAAATTATTTATCATGACTTTCAACTCGTCAATTTCCTTCCTCATCTCCTTCGGTTCATTCCTTTGTACTACACAAACCGTTTCTGTTTCCTGTACCTCAAATACCTTATCAGCCACTTTGGCCCACTGTGCAGAATCACCTTCCACTGCAGCTACGATTGTTCTAACTCCCACTGGCAGTCGCTGTAACCACAATGACTTTTGTACATCATCATTCATTGAATTGCCGGCCATTTCCTTCATTTTCTTCAGCAATTGAGTTGGTTTCATGTCTCCTAGCTCCAATTCTGTCAGCAACTTACGCAGCCTTTTGTGCTCCGATTCTGTGAATTCATATATTAACCGTTTCTTCAACGTCTCATATTTCAACACCCTCGGTGGATCTCGAATCACATCAACTATGCACTCCAGATATTTCGGCTCTAAACTTGCTACTACATGGTCGAACATTGTATCATCTTTCGTTATTCCCGCATTCCTGAACTGTGCTTCCATTTGCAGAAAAAAAAGGTCCGGATGCTCTCTTGAAAACATCATCGGCTTAACTGAAACCCGGTATACCTCCTTGTCAGTGCGACTTTCTCCTTCTGCCGGAAAAAAATCTTCTTCCTCACGGTTAGTCATCTTGCTTGCTAATGTTGGGCTTGATAATAACTTACAACTCCTTTTTGTGTCGGGGTCACCAATGTTGTGATTACAATAACCAAATAGCTTTTATTAATAAAAAACAGTATTTATTGCAACACAAACTTTTATTATTTTTTAATACAACTTTAGAAACACTAACTAATTGACTGACTGACTAACTGACTGAAAAAAATCTGAAAAAATATTTTTTAAATAAAATATTTTTAAATATCAGAGAATCTGACAATTTTAGCCTACTTTGTTGATTCTCACCACAAGTTCTAGCCAAAGACGTCAAAACATCAATGGCGTTTATAAAATCTACTTCTACTGATTTATTAAGCCTTAGCGTCAAAACACCGTGGGCTTCTCAAAAAAGAAAGACTTAGCGCTGGAGTAGAGTACTACTCGTTTCGGTGTGCCGGTGCTAAGTGATCTTTCATACAAAATCTCCGCTATTTATATACGACACTTTGCTTTGCTTAGATGTACGCACAACCGCACAAGTGTAATTCGCTGTCAGCTTTGTTATGCTTGTCGTGTGTGCGTGTGTTCGCTGTTAGCTTCGCTTTGCGTGTCGTGCGTGCGTGTGTTCGCTGTTGGCTTCGTTTTGCGTGTCGTGCGTGCGTGTGTTCGCTGTTGGCTTCGTTTTGCGTGTCGTGCGTGCGTGTGTTCGCTGTTGGCTTTGTAAATAATTTGTTAGTTTTGTTTTGTTTGTTTAAATAATTTTTATGCAGACGATTTTTACAACTATTGTTTTCTTTTATTCATAATAAATTCTAAAAATAACTCTAGCTTAAATATAGTCAATTCATTTCATATAAACAATTATTTTGTATAAAAATAACTTATGTCTAGCAATTCATTTCATATAAATATTAATTTTTTTTATAAAATAACTTATGTCTAGCAATTCATTTCATATCAACATTAATTTCGTATAAAAAATATTTATATATAAAGTAAATTTTTATTTATGCATATACATATTTTAAGAAAAATAAAATTTACTTTACATGAAATTTTACAGGTAGTGAATGAAATTAATAACGGTCCTTTACTGATCTTTTCATTTTAACTACTGTGCTTAATGACCAAAAAACCAAACAAAAATATAAATATGAATGCAGATAAAGCGTTTTTAGATCCTTTCATCGAATGTTAATAAAAGTAATCGCTGTTTGTGGGATGTCCAAAGCTGTGAATATAAAGATCGCAAAAAAAAGACGCGGCATATATAAAATATACAGAATTATAATCAATTATATGCAAAGCGCAACCTATATGTTAACTATCCATTTTTTCAATTTTATGATTTTAAAATTATATTTTAAACTTCACACAGCACTACCCGAAAAGCACTCTTCAAAAATTTTGCGTAAATGACGATTCTGTGTGTCATACCTGTTCAAATTCGGTCACTAGAAGAAATTTGAGTAATAAAGTGGGGTGCAGACTATCATACTGGTGTGACGAGTTGCGCTCTCTCTTGCTCAAATTTCTTCTAGCGACCGAATTTGAACAGGTATGACACACAAGAGTAAGCAAAATTTTTGAAGAGTGCTTTTGCGGGTAGTGCTGTGAAAATTTGTGTGTTTAAAATAAAATTTTAAAATTGAAAAAATTGATAGTTAACGTATAGGTTGTGCTTTGCTTATTGATTATAATGTTGTATATTTTATATATGCCGCGTTTTTTTTTGCGATCTTTATATTCACAGCTTTGGACATCCCACAAACAGCGATTACTTTTGTAAACATTCGATGAAAGCATCTAAAAACGCTTTATCTGCATCCATATTCATATTTTTTTTAGGTTTATTGGTCATTAAGCACAGTAGTTAAAATGAAAAGATCAGTAAAGGACCGTAGTTAATTTCATTCACTACCTGTAAAGTTTCTTAAGAAATTTTTCATAAATAGATCATACAAATAATGTATATATATATATATACATAAGAATGTATATATCTTCATTGTTTTTGAAGAAATTTGATCATTTCCATATATTTGTTAGTTAAAGGTTATTAACATTTAAAATTCTTTTATTTTAATAACAAGAAAAGCATATTTAGAATACAAAGTATTATATCTTAAATTTGGGTTATTAATTAATTGTTATTACGACCAATTTTCAATATGTTTTTTTATTACTGGGCTTAGATCATAAATTTAATTATGTTTATATTTAGATGTTTTTTTAAAAAAAATTTTACTTATAATCATCGTTTATAAATTAAAATAAAATAAAATAAAATAAAATATTTAATAAACTAAATAAAATATTTAATATATTACATAAAATATTTAATTGTATTTTAATTTTTTATAAGAATTTTATGTAAAAATTTATATTTTTTTTAACTAAAATACAATTAAATATTTAACACAAATTTATAAGTGTAATTTTAATAATAATAAATATAATAATAATAAATACATTAATAATAAAATAATAAAAAAACATATTAAATTCATATTAAAATTTTACATATATCACCTGCTCACAATAAATTTGCAAGGCAAAAATGCTCTTGTATGACGTATGAATCGTTAGGGGTGACAGACTATCATACACAACGCGTATGCGAGAGCTGTTCACCAAAATTTTGGTGAGCACGCCAACACGTTGGTAAAGGTGGCAGACTATCATACCTGTGTGTCATACGACGTTTTTCTCTCTCGTATGACATACCAGTATGATAGTCTGCACCGCGCTTTAGCAAATTCTCAGTTTTATTGATTGAACTTTTGTTGAAAAGCTCATTGTGAGTAAATGGTAGGTTTCGTATGCATAAAAATCAAGTTTCTTAATTTTATGTGAGCAATTGCTTTGAAAAAGTTAAGCTGCTTTTCTTGTGCTCACATTTGTTGAGTTGTCACTTTAAAAATATTTTTCACAAGAAGTCGGTGGTAGTCGGTGTTTTTAAAGTTTTTGATCAAAGTTTAAAGTTTTAAATAAAATTATAAACTATATTAATTATAAAATAATTTAAATTAAAACACAAATTTCCAGTTAAAATACAAACAATTTTTAAAAAATAGAAATAATGGCAGAATTTTTAAATGTTCAAATTAAAAAAAAAAATTATAAGCAGCGTTTAACTGCAATGAATATAGGAAGTGATAAAACCTTGTATCGATTTTCAAAGGAAAACATTCAATGGTTAGTGGATTATTTTTTGCCTTCAACTAGTGAAACACGTGGTGGAGGCTTGGATGGATTCACAAAAATGTGTACATACCTTCGATTTTTGGCGGATCCAGGTTTTCAATGTGGAATTGGGGAAGATATCGGTATTCATCAGTCCACTGCATCACGCATAATTAAAGAAATGGCATTTATTATTTCGCAACGTGCAGCAGAATGGATCAAATTTCCGGAAACAACGACTGAATTCAAGGCAGAACAAACGTTATGGAGCACGAAATATAAAATGCCATTTGCAGTAGGAGCAATTGATTGCACTCATTTCAAAATAAAAAAACCTTTAAATAATTGTGATGAATACATTTGTAGAAAAGGGTTTTTTTCAATAAATGTGCAAGCAACATGCAATGCTAATGAATTGTTTACAAGTGTCGATGTTTCTTGGCCTAGTTCTGTGCATGATTCAAGAATTTTTAAAAATAGTTCGGTGCACAATGTGATTAAAAGCAATGATGTAGAAGCATATTTACTTGGCGATGAAGGATACGGTATTGCGCCATGGTTAATGACACCCTTTAAAAATCCATCAAATCCCAATGAAGCCTTATATAATTCCACAATAACAAAGGAAAAAACTATCATTGAACGTTGCTTTGGTCAATTAAAGCAGAGGTTTGCATTATTTCAATATAAAATTCGTGTTGATATAGAAATTGTACCATAAATAATTATAAGTGGTTTTGTTCTGCATAATATAGAAAAACATCTTAATGATACATACGAATATTCAACAGATTTAGAAAGTAACATCGAAAATGTAGTGTTTTCTTCAAATGAAACCAGCGGAGTTACTTGCAACCAGATTCGAGAAAACGGCAAACGAAAACGGTTAACAATTGCCAACATGTTATCAGATAACAGTAATTAGTTTGTAAATAAATAATTGTAAATAAATTTACAATTAGTTTGTAAATAAATAATTGTAAATAAATTTACAATTAGTTTGTAAATTTTAATTATTTGAAAATTTATTAGAATATGAATTTATGTAATAATTTTTTTTAATTTTGATATATTATAAATATAAAGATAAATAAAATTCATAAGTTTTCAAAATCAAATTATTTATTTCAATTATTAATTTTTTTTTTTAAAATTTTTAATTTTAAAGAATATATACAACGAAAAATAGAAATAAAGATATAAAGATATAAGATATAAATATATAAAGATATAAGATATAAAGATATAAAGATATAAGATATAAAGATATAAAGCTATAAAGATATAAGATATAAAGATAAAGATATAAATAAATAAAGATTCATAAGAATTTAAAATTAAATTATTCATTTGAATTTTTCATTTGTTGCGAAAGTACTATATTTTGCTTAAGCAAAATATATCTTTGCAACTGTGCTAAATTAAGATGCCTGGTCTCATCAGTCTCATATTTATCCAAAATATGTGCACTGGAGCAGGCTGCATGCGTCTGAAAGAATTTAACATTTTAAATAAAAAACACTAAAATTTAACTAATCGCTATACTTTTTTACGCTTTGCTATGCCGGTTTCCTCGTTTTTTTCTCCACTTTCTGCCTCATTTTCTTCCTCGTCTTCTTCCTCAATTTTTCTTTTAACTGTACATTTTGCGGTACTTGCTGATGCACCGTCTTTTGTGGTTCCAGCTGAAATTGCGCCTTTTTCAAAAATAAGAATATTTTTAACTATTTGCTTATCATATTCACTATAAATAACTTACCTGAAATTTTATTTACACTCGGGTTGTCCTTTTTACTTATAACATTTAAAAATTTCTCTTCCCACTCTTTCATATGAATTTTTTTATTGCCAGTTCTGTTAATGTCCGCTTTGGCTTTTATTCTACTTTTGATATTTGCAATTTTTTTAAGCAGTTGTTTGCTTTCAATTTCAATACCACTCTGTTCTTTATATTGTTTTTTTAAATTATTAATAGCTTCTATTTTTTTAGCTTTAAATATTGGAAGTTGTGATTTTTCAAATAACACCGAATAATTATTTATTTTTTCTGCCAAGAAAATTGATAAAGAGTCAGTTTTCAGTTCACACATTTTTAATTCATCTGTCACTTGAAAAAACACTTGAATTCAAATTCAAATGTCAACAGAAAATTAATGAAAGCACTTGCAATAACAAAGAAGAAACTTTTTACCATGAAATTACAATAACAAATGCATATGAAAGCTTTGAGCATTTGCTCGCATAGATTGAGTTGAGTTCAAGCTGCTTAATCTCATTTTTATGCATACCAAAATCAACTTGAGATTGAGGTTTTGGTGAAACTCTGAAAGTTGAGATCAAGCTCACTATGCTTTGCTCAGAGCAAGAACTCATTTTTATGCATAAGACCCAATATTTCTGCAGTTAATGCATAATCTTTGTGTTTGTATATTTTTCCTAAAATATATGACTGGCTTTGTGTGCATGCAATGCTCAAGTAGTTTCAAATTATTATGAATATGATTCTTGATGAAATTTTATTCTGGTCTCATACAAATATATGAAGTTTGCCTATTATAAGGTTAGTAAGCACCGGCAGTAGTACAGTACTATGCCCTGTAGTAGCAATGATATGAAGTATATTAATAAACACCAAATTGTTTTTAAAATATTTTATTATTAAAGTTGAAAACTTTAAATTATTATAAACATTGCATTTATTCTTAAATCTAATCTTACATAATAACTTATATAATTTACGAACTATTTACGATCTATTTACAATAATTATTTCTTACAATAATTACTATTTACAATAATTTATTTAAATATATTTCCATGAATATATAGAAATATAGCAAAAAATATATTTTTCTTAAAATATATACATTAATGTACTTTATATAATGTATATATTTTTCCCATGGGAAATATCTATAGACTTATATTATCATGGATTTCAGCGATATTCAACCTGTTGGAAAATCACGAAAAAGCAAACCAACATAAGAAACTGTATAAACACTAGGGTGCCATTAAGGTATATGGGCAATTTTTTTTCCGTAAAATCGGTTGACGGCACATCTCAGATCGGTTCATTTTACTAAAAGAATAATCTGTGCAAAATTTTAGTTCAATTGGATAAGTGGAAATGGTGCCCCAAGAGCCTCAAAGATTGGAAAATAACGATTTTTTCCATAAAATTCATCTTTGATTGCTTATATCTCCGACATATTTAATTTTACATAAAAACTATCTTCCTAAAAGTAGGAAGATAGATCTATTAAAAATAAACAATTCAGTCATACAAAGTTTTTCTGTATTTCTAATAGTTATTGAATAAAAGCAAATACAAGCTGAAGTCACCCGATTGCTAGCTTTGAAAGTACTATGAATGTAATTGTCCGCTTCAGCTTTACAAAAAATTTGATATTTCTTAAAAATTTAAAATAAATTCAATATTTCCAAAATTTAATCTTTCTAATAATAAAAAAGTACTAATTCTAGGTTTGTCCGAAATAATTTTTATTATTTTAGTTAAAGTTGCTGGAGCAAAGTATCCTTATTACCTTCAGTTATTTTTGCGCGATCTATTGATACTCTCCTGACTTCCTTGTCATCACTATCTATATTCAAATTTGAAACCATCTTTTTCTTTGTCTCAGGTGATATATTTAAATCCAAAAAAGCAAAATGAACAAGCTTTGAGCTTAAATACCAAATACAATTTTTTGATATTGACTGAGAATAGAAAGAAGATTAAAATCTTGAAAATGAGCTTTGACTGATGACAAAGCATTAAACCATACTTCAACATACACTTTAGTAATAAATATACATATATCGCAAAGAGCATTTTCTTCTTCTGTAGATAATTTGAACTCTTTCCTAAATAAAAATATTTTTAATACATGCATAACTTTCACCATCCATCTTGCATGATGTATAGCTCCAGGAGGTCGAAACTTTATGGTACAGTTCGGCTTTTCTCCTAAAAACATTAATGCAAGTTCCAGAAGTTCCCTATAATCATCTCTTGGTTGGTTATCCTTACGAATCTTATAAAGGAAACTTGTAATTCGTAACACATCATCCATATTTAACGATTTTCTTACTTTTTCATTTTCTAAGCCGACTGTAAACTTATCAACGTTTATTTTCGGCCAAAACTTCTGAAATCGTTGAAATAGTTCAACATTTGGGCTTTCAGACTTGTACACTTTTTAATGTAATCACTTTGAATTAAAATTCACTTCGCATTCCAATGAATAATACAGTAACTCACTTATGTATATATCTATACAAGTATTGGACTTATTTTTTAGCAAATTTATTAGACAATTCATTCATTGAACTTACCTAAATTTAATAGGGGGATTTCAGCTTGTATTTGCTTTTATTCAATAACTATTAGAAATACAGAAAAACTTTGTATGAGTGAATTGTTTATTTTTAATAGATTTATAATTTTTAGGAAGACAGTTTTTATGTTAAATTAAATATGTCGGAGATATAAGCAATCAAAGATGAATTTTATGGAGAAAATCGTTATTTTTCAATCTTTGAGGCTCTTGGGGCACCATTTCCACTTATCCCATTGAACTAAAATTTTGCACAGATTATTTTTTTAGTGAAATGAACCGATCTGGGGGGTGCCGCGAGCATAATAAAAAAATCTATATAAAATATAAAAAATAAAATAAATAAATAATAAAAATATAAAAAAAATAATAATAAAAACAAAATTTACTCCAACTTTCGAAAATTAATGGCACCCTAATATATATATATAACCTATTAAAGTGTGAGATCTAGTGTAAACCTTCTTACAATTTAAGGATCTTACTCTACTTGTAACTATTGAAAACTTTCAGTCTTTAACTTGTCAAAGTCCTTATAAAGCATATTCTATTGCTATCAACGCATACAAGACTACAAATCGTTCAATAATCCTACCGCGGATAACAGAGGGAAGTGTGTTCTTTATCCATACTCACCGCTACTCCATCCATCCGTCCAAGGTTTTGCATTATATGGTTGAAAAAACTTTCTAGGAGAATTGTAGAGCTCTTTATTCGAGATATTATTTTAGATTGAAAGAGCTTGTATTGATACAACTGTCACCAAGTCCCATTGCTTAAAGAATTCAGAGTAGTATCTATTGAAAAAACTGATTTACGTTAAATTTTTACGTAATTTACGTGAGGTCATTTTTGGTATTTATGCTAGTTCCAGTTTCCGCACTCCACAACAATGAAGGTATTATTTTCGTTTATCAAGAAAGGGCTTTATTGCTTATTGAGTTCTAACTTGCTACCTACCATCTATTGAGAAAAGAGTTTCTCCGTTGAATTTATTTATTTTATATATTTCACTTTAGGAAATGTTATTTTATTTACGAGGAGAATTTAAAATTAATATATTATTTCAAATGATTTTATGATATAGATATAGTTATTATATAGTTATTCCTTTCCATAATCAATTTAATTTTATATAGCACATGTTTCATATAATTCGTGGCACTTACTATAGGTATTTAATGTAAGGAATGCAATAGTCTTAAATTTAAATTAGTTTGTTTTAAGTTATTTGTTACTCTCTGGATTGTTAGAAGTTCGATATGGTACTATTAACGATTTAGAATAAAGACTTCAAGTAGGACCGTACCACTCTTTGGGTACTTATTGTGTATGTATCTAATAAACTCTCTAGTAGTTGCTTTATGTCAAGGAATGAGTTTAGTGATATTTTGATGTCACAGATTCCATAAAAATATGTTTGTAAATTTATTTGTTACCTCAAGTTATCGGATGGTTATAGAATAAAAGAATTAAAAATTTTGTAAGCACAAAATGAATATACAATTATCTTAAGGTCTTATGTATTTAACCAGTATATCGCATCGAGATTCATTACTTTCAGATTAGTTATTGCAATATTGTCAGAAAGCATTGATCGGAGTCTCGTGATCGGAGTCTACTCTGTATAGCCACATGAGCATTTTGAATTCCTCGTGAGATGCGTCAAGTACTTCAGCTGGTATAGATTATTAGTCCTATTATATAAGTTTATTATAAATAGTTGGAAGTAACTTGAGTTGTAGATGGGATATTACTTTGAATTTAACTGCGATGCTATATCTTACCTTAACCATTAAATATGTTAATTAAAATATTTAACACTCAATTTATATATATATATAAAATACTAAAACATGCTAAGTCAACCCGTACATAATCTAAATTTAATAATCTAAAAAATTTTAATGTATCATTCATATTTAAATTTTATAGGTTGTGCAATCTATTTATAACATATAATATAACTAAAAATTTACATGTACTCTTAATTACTAATATTAATTAGTCAGTTCCTTAGTGTACTGATATCATGATTTTGCCGCATAAGTACTTGGGGGAGTTTTGACGTAATAAACAAATGCGTCAAAAAATCTTATCGCTCTGCGTCTATAGTATAGCATAGCTCTGTGTTTGTGCTCCACAGGTGTTTGGTTCGCTTAAGTTTAGTATGTTTGTATGATGTGTTTTTGTTTTTCCCGCTCAAATTTATTTATTAAAAGCTTCATAAAGTGGAACACATCAGCCTTTATATAGTTCTTAATATTGCATACCTTTCAATAACTTGATTTCCGAGTGAGTTACACGTAACCAATTAGTCATCGCCTACTAGCTTTACGATATTCTGTGGATTGCGCTAATTTAATCTCGTTCGGTAATTTTACTTTAATTTTTTAACAAGTATTTCCCCTTTAAAATATTAAATAAAGTGCACTCATGGATGCTTTCTGGGTCAAGTGAGAATATTTTATAATAAATTCCACATATTTATATATAGGTATATAAAAATATATTTTCTTATAATATAATAATTACTTAATCTATATTTACATGCTTAGTTGAGTGTGTTTCAGAATATGTGGTGACTTAATAAATTTTTTACTTTTTTATTGATAACAATAACAAACATTTTTCCACATTCGTACTTAATCTATATAATATAAGGGAATTATTCAGTGATAATTGATAAGACTATATTCAGTCCAAATCACACTTTGAGGTGAAGTTCAATGCTTTACTTTTCCGGTTTCACTACATTTTCTGTCATTTGTGTAGAAATTTCTTTAAGCCTTCCATTTCAAAATACGCAAATAAATTAATAATGTAAGACCTATAGACATATACCATATGGTTAAATTAATGTATTTACATACATATATGTACTTATATACAAAATATATGTATTTTTGTAGATAAGAAATAACGTATTATTTTTGTATTAATTTATTTAATACTAATAATCATAGTAAAATAGTAAGAATTCAAAGTTTGCATAACGTTTTATATACGTATATATACTAATGCCTCTTTATGTAACGAAATACATATATACATTATTTTACATTTTGTTTTCAAAATGACTTGTAAACACAATGAAACAGTTTATTTTGCATTGAAGATTGTTTTTGTTTATCAATGAAAAACAAAATGCATATGCACTAAATGTTATTGTTCCAACAATAGTAACAATAGAACATATATCAACACCTGTACCTTGTTCTTGAATTATTTAGTATAATACTTTATGTTAATGATATGTCACACCTCTCTGATAAACACACAACATCACAAAAATATGGAAAAGAACAAGGTCACAGATGTAATGGCCAGAAGATGTTCTGGGGTGTATACAAGTAAGACCGACACATCGATACCATCACTATCGCATTAACAAATGACTTGTAGTCTAATCGGAAAAACTTTGAAATCTGTAGAACATTATGGCCTAAATTAGACAGAAATGAAATGAAAAACCTTTTGAGCTTCAGCAAACTATTAATACTGCAGTTCATGTATTTACTGGAATATTAAATGGATTGTATGCCGGTGTGCCCTTTCAGACGTAGTGACGTTAATGTTTAAGACATAGTTTCTTTATTAAACTGTTACAGATAATGAAAATGCACTAATCGGATCTCCTTAGTTTTAACTGGAAAACTAAATAGTTAAACAAGTATAATACATAGAGATCACATTATTAATAAAAATCACTTCTCACCGAAAATTTTAAGAGTAAAAGATTTAGCCGACTTGAGAAGTTGATAGTTGTATCAGCATGTACTCTAAAACGTAATCTAAACTAATC